GTGGAGAGGAGCAGATAGCCAAGGCCCGGCCCGGGCCGCACCAGGACGCCCGGCCAGCCCCCCGCCGCAGAGAAGCCACACCCATGACCACCCATGACCACACCGCCAGCGACCAAGTGCACCCCCCCAGCCGTCCACCCCCCGGAACCCAGCAGCCACCCCGGCCAGAGGGCCACCCACAGGAACCAAGAGCCACACCTCAGGAGACCAAGCAGCACCAGAGAGGACGGAGAGCCAGCCCCGCCCCCAGCGACCGTCCAAGCCCCTAGCCCACCCACAGCCCAGGACCGCACCCGACGGTCGTTGTCAAGCTGTAATTGATGCTCAAAGGCACATGATGAATTATTGAGACGTTGAAATTTTTTGTTGTGGTGTATCCACCATTGTTGTTAATTTTTGTTTCAATAAATTGTTAGAAATGAGTAAATCACCAGTGCATTCTTTTACTTAAATGTCCTACTTTCATGATATATCACTGTAGCGTGAACTTTTTACATTTTCCATAAAATTCACCTGAAAGCCAAATATCCCTAACTTTTTGTGAGTAGTGTATACTATAACTGTAAAATAAAGACTGTAAAAATACTGTAGGCTGTTAAGTTGTTATAATTTTTAAAAATATATTTTAACACGGACAGAGCCATTTTATTTACACACAAAGCATTCTGGGTAAATGACGTTGATAGGTCCTCGGTGTGAGCGAGCTCCACACTGACGGTTAATCTTGGACAATATCTGACGGTCGACTCTTTTAAATGAAACCAGAGAGYGTTGACAGAGAGGAGAAGGTAGAAATGACTCAGCCTGTAACTGAAAATATGGATGGAGGACAACAGAGCTGCTTCATGGAAGAAGAACCTCAAGCCTGTTAGCCTTTGCACTAGCGCCGACACTATATTGCCTTACATGTATTAGCTTGGCGCTAGCACGACAAATTAACAAGCTAAACTACTATGTTTTAATACTTGATTAAACTATAGTATTATAGAATATAATTTATTATAGTAAGAATACCTTTGATCAAACTGCCAGTTAATTGATAAATGCAACGAGACTTGGACTTGAGGTTAAGAGACTTAAGACTTGACATGGACCGCATAAAGTGTAAAATACAAGACTGGATCTTAAATTCGGTTAATGTAGGGCTGCACGGTATATGCGGTAGACTGTAGAAACGGTATGAAGTTGGCCTATGGTAGAAATTTACGCTCTACCGTCATATCGTCATTATGACATCGCACCTGTGTCAACAGGGCTGCGAGTGCAGAGACAACTGAGCAGGAGTTCGAAATATAATGAAGAAATTCTAGCGTTTGAAAATACGTATAGAGAGGATAAATCCTCAAAATATCCCCCTCCCGCTGTAGAAAAGTTACGTCGTGTCGCGGGATCATAATCTCTTCCTCTCCTCTCCTCTCCTCTCCTTCTCTCCTCTGTCTCCTCTCCTCTCGCTGCGCAAAGTTTTGACAACTGTAGTTTTCCACACCCAGTTGTCAGAGAAAAAAACTTGTTCTTTAAAGTATTGTTACTCACAAAGATGATTTAAAAAAAAGACGTGGACATTCGTTCAGTCATAAAACCATCTTGCTAATGTAAAGTCGGCTTCTGCTCTGATGATGAAGATGAGCGCGCAGCACAGCAGCAGCTGATAGCAGGTGGAAGCTCATTGTTTGGCAGGCAGATATTAAAGCAAAAATGCTGGGTTTGATTAAGATTACAGTTCTCTGCAAAAAAAATGCTCTGAAAATTACATTATCTTTACTTTTTATGATAATTTTCTACCGCGATATATACCGTTACCATGAAGGGGTACAGTTTATACCGTGATATGAATTTGAGGTCATACCGCCCAGCCCTAAGTTAATTATACACACAATTTCCTTGTTACACCTGTATGGAGAGCTCCTTTGACCACATGTTTTCTTCACAACAAAATCTTCTAAATGCAAGCACCACAGCTCAGATCAACTCCAGGCCTTTTATCTGCTTCAATAAGAATGACTTAACGAAGGAATTACCCACACCTGCCTGTCACATGTTTGTCATGGTGGTTGAGCGGTCATGAGGTGGGACCAGAACGGGGACAATGATCAAACTTAGAATGAAATCAGTGGAAACTTTTAAAGGTGTCACCAGCCCACAAGAAAAATTAATCACCGAACATTTCATGACATCTGTTTAAATAAAAGTGGATCTAAATTGCGAAAAAAACATTTCCAGGGAAAAAAAATAAGACAACCTGCAAAAAATGGAAAATACAACATAAATGTGTACATTAAATACAGATCAAATAACACTACAACTATTTACAAACAAATAAAAACTGAATATAGTTCATTTGGATCCAATAATTACTTTAGACCTAACATAAAAAGTACTATTTTGCCAAAACGCCCCCCATAACTATTTACAGTTATGGTGCAGCCTCAGAACCTATAAGTTGTGCACAAAACCCCGGGGAATGTTTTGTCTGTGCACACCTGCTGGAAGATGGAAAATGGCTGAGGTAAGGATCTGCAAACAATGAACTTTAATAATTTAGTCACTTCATCTGTTGCTTTATTGTTATTGCAGTTTAAATCAAACATGTATGAAACACTGAAAAAAGGTAAAGTTACCAATTATTGTTTGTTTACCTTTACAGAAGGAATGTCAAGGAGAGGCCTGCTAATGAAGACCCACCCAGACCCACACTCCAAACAACCAAAATAAAACAATTTAAACTCAATGGCTGTGTATTTATTTCACTTATCAATGCAATCATGTTTTTACTAACAAACAGTGACCCATTGTCACACTGCCCATGAGTCATTTGTTCAATTACTTTTTGGTCCCTTTAATAGTAGGGTGGGCACCAGTTTTAATGTGGATAGCTTCAAATGAAAGCTGAACGTCTGGACTTTATGTCCGTGTCCATTATATAACTATAACTTGAATATGTTTCAGTAAACAGGTAAAACAAAAACAAACCTTGTGTCAGTGTCTAGATAGATATGGACCTAACTACATGCAGGTTTTTGGAGCAACAAATGCTGCCCTCCAAGCCCTGTCTTTCAGAGAAATCCATCTTATGCAAGACAATAAAAAATTAACCAGCTTTGTGATACTGAAAATCTCAACCTGAAGTCATTCACTAGTCATTAATTCTGCTTTGTAGTACAGACCTGTAGTTTATTTTTTTTCTGTACAGAAAATAATAAAATATATCAGCAGTATTTGACGTATTCTTCCTCCTGCAGACCTTCTGCTTATTGGGATAGCTCTACTACACTCTACCTGCACAGTTTGCTTCAAGGTTAGAAACTGTTAATATTTTCTGATTTGTCTTCAACCAATGCAAAAACATTTTTTCACGAGTGATGACGTTTCCGCAGCATCCACGCAAACAGAAGCTGTGCTACTTGAACTGGATACAGACTCCACATCTATTGAGCTCTATCTGACTATCAACAACTTCAAGGTCAAATTTCAGTCATACTTGATCTACTTTTCACGTTTATACAATGTATTTACAAAAGGTCTGCTTAGAAGTATAAACCACACTGCTAAATTTATAGTAGATTGAAGTAAAATATGTGTTTTTGTCTTTTTTCCAGATCTGTGTGAATGATGACTTGGTGGCTAAAAAGTTTGCATATTACAGCAGACATCCTGCCTACTGTAATGGTCTGGATGGAGGAGACTGGCTTCCTGTCATGTTGTCCTCCAACATCTTAACTCAGACTTCTTCCAGATCATCTAACAGACAGATGGCAGAGACCAGACCACTCTCCTGTCAACGTCAACACACAGGTACAACATGAGAAAATATAAAGCTGCAGCTCAAACAACAAATTTACTGATACATGCAAAGTTTTACACAATCATACAAAAAACTCAGCTATCTCTGAAATAATTTAAAACTACCAATGCTGAATGGCATTCTTTGTTTTATTCCATATTTAACACAAATCAGACTTAGATTTGATTATTGTTCAGTGCAAAATTTTAATGAAGAACAGTAAATATGGAGAAAAACAATGGTTGCCTTAAGCAGCAGTCTTTGCAGCAATTTGTGCCAAAAGATGATCTTGGTACTTCATAATAAGACAAGTTTTTTTTACAAGTAGTTTAACCCACTCTTCCAGGAGCAAACTGCACTCAGGTAGAAGTACAGGCTGCAGTTTTCAGATCTTTTCATAGATCTTTGATAGGATTAAGATCTCAACTCGTAGACGGCCTATGGCAAGTCTGTTTTTTCTGTGTCATTTTCCAATTAACAGACCTATGAGCTGCGATTGAGACTGCTTTTTGACACAGCAGTATGCATACTTTACCTAATTTCCTTCTGGGATCCATAAAGTATTATTCATTTGAATTGAATTGAGAGTCTTGACACATAATTGTGTATTATCATAAAGAATAAAAGTAAAAATAATGAATAAAGGTTTAGATTCATGTAGGGCTGGGTGGTATGACCTCAAATTCACATCATGGTATAAATTGAACCCCTTCACAGTAACGATATACACTCACCGGCCACTTTATTAGGTACACCACGCTAGTAACGGGTTGGACCCCCTTTTGCCTTCAGAACTGCCTCAATTCTTCGTGGCATAGATTCAACAAGGTGCTGGAAGCATTCCTCAGAGATTTTGGTCCATATTGACATGATGGCATCACACAGTTGCCGCAGATTTGTCGGCTGCACATCCATGATGCGAATCTCCCGTTCCACCACATCCCAAAGATGCTCTATTGGATTGAGATCTGGTGACTGTGGAGGCCATTTGAGTACAGTGAACTCATTGTCATGGTCAAGAAACCAGTCTGAGATGATTCCAGCTTTATGACATGGCGCATTATCCTGCTGAAAGTAGCCATCAGATGTTGGGTACATTGTGGTCATAAAGGGATGGACATGGTCAGCAACAATACTCAGGTAGGCTGTGGCGTTGCAACGATGCTCAATTGGTACCAAGGGGCCCAAAGAGTGCCAAGAAAAGATTCCCCACACCATGACACCACCACCACCAGCCTGAACCGTTGATACAAGGCAGGATGGATCCATGCTCTCATGTTGTTGAHGCCAAATTCTGACCCTACCATCCGAATGTCGCAGCAGAAATCGAGACTCATCAGACCAGGCAACGTTTTTCCAATCTTCTCTTGTCCAATTTCGATGAGCTTGTGCAAATTGTAGCCTCAGTTTCCTGTTCTTAGCTGAAAGGAGTGGCACCCGGTGTGGTCTTCTGCTGCTGAAGCCCATCTGCCTCAAAGTTCGACATGTTGTGTGTTCAGAGATGCTCTTCTGCCTACCTTGGTTGTAACGGGTGGTTATTTGAGTCACTGTTGCCTTTCTATCAGCTTGAACCAGTCTGCCCATTCTCCTCTGACCTCTGGCATCAACAAGGCATTTCCGCCCACAGGACTGCYGCTCACTGGATGTTTTTTCTTTTTCGGACCATTCTCTGTAAACCCTAGAGATGGTTGTGCGTGAAAATCCCAGTAGATCAGCAGTTTCTGAAATACTCAGACCAGCCCTTCTGGCACCAACAACCATGCCACGTTCAAAGGCAGTCAAATCACCTTTCTTCCCCATACTGATGCTCRGTTTGAACTGCAGGAGATTGTCTTGACCATGTCTACATGCCTAAATGCACTGAGTTGCCGCCATGTGATTGGCTGATTAGAAATTAAGTGTTAACGAGCAGTTGGACAGGTGTACCTAATAAAGTGGCCGGTGAGTGTATATCGCGGTAGAAAAACTGACATAAAAAGTAAAGATAATGTAATTTTTAGAGCATTTTTTTTTGCAGAAAACTAATCTTATTCAAACCCAGCATTTTTGGTTTAATATCTGCCTGCCATACAATGAGCTTCTGCCTGCTGAACTTATCAGCTGCTGCACTGCTGCGTGCTCATCTTCATCATCTTCATCATCAGAGCAGAAGCTGACTTTATATTAGCAAGATGGATTTATGACTACGAATATCTTTTTTATCATCTCTCTGGGTAACAATGCATAAACAATTTTTTTCTCCCACAACTTTGGTGTGAAAAAGCTATGGTTTTTAAAGCTTCCCTCTGCGTGACGTGCAGCGGGAGGAGGGAGGAAATGATCCCGACGTAACTTTTCTGCAGCGGGAGGGGGAAATTTTGAGGATTTATTCTCTCTATATGTGTTTTAAAACACTAATTTCTTTATTATATTTCAAACTCCTCCTGCTCAGTTGTCTCTGCACTCGCAGTCCTGTTGACACAGGTGGGATGACGTAACTGATAAAATGACGGTAGAGGGCAAATTTCTACTGCAGGCCAACTTCATATCATTTCTACTGTTTTACCTCATTTACCGCGCAGCCCCTAGATTCATGTAAAATCATAATCAATTGATCAGCAGTTCTCTGCCTCACTAACTCTTTCTCTGGCAGCACCAACAGGATTGCTTTTTTTATTTTTCAAATATATGTTGATATTCTCTATATGCTGTCATTAATATTTTTAGTTTCAGTGCTGAGAAATGGACTTCTGATCTTATGTTTTCCCGAGGGCTTCGTGCTCCAATTTAACTCAGGGTAACTTGACTCAGGATTTAGTTGCCCAGTTGATATCACCTGTTCTGAAACCAAAAATCCTGAAAATCACAGAGTGGGGTAAGTTGATTATTTGTGTTAACCCGGGGTTTGTTAAGCCTGCTTTCTGAAAAAGGGTCCTGAAGCCTCTGAAGATGGAAAAATATAAGCATGACACAAAGACAGGAGAAATTAATTTATTTTCATCAATATTTAATTGAATTCAATCAATTCAAAAATGCTTTATTGATCCCAAAGGGAAATTACAGTTACAATGTGTATTTGAGGATGTTATAAAGGGTATTTAGTTTTTCAGATTATATTTGTTCACCTTTGAATGAAATGGTTTTGTTTCACACAGTAAAAATCATTCTGACTCTAATCTGCTTTTGTCTTCAGTGACATCACAGATTCCTGATCCAGCGGATCCAGATGATTTGTTGTTGGCTCCATCTTTACCTGAGGTCAGCAGCTTTGCACACTTCATAGTCTCTCATTGGCTGCATTCACACTGGAGGCAAATGCAACCCCTATCTGATTTTTTTTTTAGGACAGTCTGAAAGAAAAAAATCCAATATTTTCAAATCTGACTCATTTCAGCATGTGGTACTGAATCGGATCCATGTCTGATGTTTTCAAAGTGACTGCAGTGTGAACGCTCATGTCACATTCCATCCGACTTTTTCATCAGTGAGGTGGGGGTTAAGGATCGATAAGACACTAACCTCATGTCATGCTGTTTAAATCTGTAGCTCCATGTGTTTACAGCTCCAAAACACAAGTCCAGTTGCTTTGTCTTTTTACTTTTAATTTTCCATGTAGATGGTAACGTCCAGCCTGGGTCGCGGAGCGTATCGATCCTCAAGTTACTCAGTCAATACTTTATTTCCAGCTCGTTGTTTCATTCTAAAAATAAAAAGCTTCACCGGAGCGTCCGGTCAGATGCAGGTTCAGATATAAACACTGAACTAAACAAGCACGTCAGATAATTATTTAATCGGTTCTGAATAAACAACAACTTCAGATTTAACATGCTAAAAATATCATCCTCTGTAAACAAACAAGCCGGCTAAAAGAGACGGCACATCTTTTACTGCTCATGCATGTCACATCAGTGCTGTGGAGCATTCACTCTGGAGTCTGATGCAGGTCACATTTACAATGTAATGTGAACGTTCACACCAAAATATAAGATTTTTTCAAAAAATCACAATTGAGCATTAAGACCTGCAATGGCTACGTTCACATTGCAGGCAAATCCGACCTTTTTATGACAGTCTAAACGAGACAAATCCGATTTTTTTCAAATCCGACCCAGGCCGTTTCAGTATGTGGTTTTAAATCGGATATATATCTGATGTTTTCAAAGTGACTGCAGTGTGAACGCTCATGTCACATTCCATCCGACTTTTTCATCAGTGAGTGTCAGCTGCGGACATGAAAGCGCTGCTGCGAAGCAGGAGGAAAGGAGAGAGGAAAAAGTAAATTACTTCTAGCGGCAGAACAGGTTGGAAGATGGCTGTTTGATGTTATTTATTGTTTTTTAAATCATCCTATAGGCTCTGACATGTTAGATAAATTTGAAAATGAGGTTTTTAAAATATCCGTAAGACTTGAAAAAATCCGTGAGATTGCTCTATATGTCCATATACCTGCAAAATGATGTAAAAGCCTTAGAACTTACAGACAGTCTGTACAAGTTGACATGTGCGGGTTTGGGCTGAAGCTGCCCCACTGCCTTTCTTTCCCCTCCTCCCCTCCCGCTGTGCAGGACTACTGCTTTGTGTGTGTGTGTGTGTGTGTGTGTGTGTGTGTGTGTGTGTGTGTGTGTGTGTGTGTGTGTGTGTGTGTGTGT